CGGCTGCCCCAGGTCGGAGGAGACGACGACGGCCAGCTCGAGCGGCCGCCAGCGAGCGCGCCCGCTGGAGCCTGCAGATTGCCGAGCGGAAGCATTCGCGAGGTTTCTCGGGGCGCTGATGCAGGCAAGGAGTGAGCTGGCCGTGCCCACAGGCAGTCAGGAGAAGCATCAGCGAGGTTTCTCGGAGTGCTACTCATGGCAGGCTACATGGGCACAACTTTACGCCTGCGCCGCCATCGCATTGGGAAGTAGTTTGGGAATACCACCAGGTGCACACCTGCAGGGTGTGGAGGAAAAGCACGTGATCATCATGATGCTCACCGGTGTGCTCCTCACTGGCCCTGCCCATGACCGCGCATTCCAGCATGCTCTACCTCGCGCACTCCGAAGGGGAAACTGAGCTACCTCACAGGGTACCAGAGTACAAATGTGACATCACATGGAGCATCTCTCGGAATGACCGAGAAGCGAGCTGCGTGGAATATGGAAGCACGCAGTTCAATTTGTAGAAGTAGGGCCCCCCCCCACCGACAGTTAGGGGTCTCGGGCCTTCCGTCTCTCCCCTCTCTCCTCCTTTTGAGGTCGTGTCGTCGTCTCCTCCCCCCCTTGGCTTGGGCGCCCTGCTAAGCCCGCGCGCCCCCTCCCCTAGGGCACGCGGAAGGGCCAGCAGCTGCCCCCCCCGCGCTGACCCGATGGGACTCGCGATGTAAGGTAGCGAGTCTCTCTTACGGGACCACCTCGGAGCTCGGTCCTTGAGCCACGGGGCATACCCCCTGCCGGCCCTTGTGAGAAAGCAGGGCTGTAACGCAACCGAACGCAGGGGGATTTTGACAATGGCGCGTAGATCACACGTGCAAGTGCTCTGGCGTTGCCCCCCCTCGCGCGGATGTCCTTGTCCTTGTCCCCCTCCCCCCTGTCCGCGTCCTCTTTTTCCTCCTCCTCCCTGTCCTCCTCCCTGTTGTCATGGGTGGGGTGCTGTCGGGTCCTCGGGACCTGTGGTCGTCGAGCCGTCGGCAGAAGCGCAGCCGCAGCAGGCGGGGGGGTGCATGCGCGGCGGCGTCACTGCAGAGTGCGAATTATCCGAAGCGGGAATGTGTACATGACCGTCGCTTGGAGGGTCAGTTTTTGGAGCCTCGGCCGGCGGTGGATATGGACATATTCGGGCCCTTGGGGGCCGACATATATCCATATCCACCGCCAGCTGGGGCGCCAGGACGTCGCCTTCCAGGCGGCGGCTATGGATACAGTCCCGCCTCGCAAACTTTGAAACAATGCACCACAGTAGTTGCAAGCACGGGTGATGAGGGAGGGAATGCGAGGAGATGGGAGGGGATGGGGGGGGGAGGGCGCGGCTTTCCAGTAGCATGCACTTGCTCGTCCGCTCTGCTTTGCGTTCTCGGCCGTCGTTCCCTTTGCCCTCCCGGCCATTTGCGCTTTTTCAGCTGCCATTGTTGCTGCTGTCCGTACGTTGCGCTCACGCGCTCTGATCGCGATTCCCGAGCGTTGTAGTTCACGTGGTGTGGCCTGTGGCGATCCCTGCCAAAGCGTTTGCACCATTTCCGAGCCGAGGATCCAGAAGGAAACGTGGGCATAGTATTGTTTGATTGGCAATTTTTGGACAACAGCAAAATCATCGGATGAGGGGAGGGATTGAGGAGGGTGGTCGGGAGAGCGAGCGCACGAGAGGGAGGGACAAACAGGGAACTCCAATCCCTGGAGGCTCGAACAGGTTGGATCGTCATCTTGCCTCCGCCGGCGCTGATCACCAACACTGGATCCACGCTTTCTCGTAAAATCCAGTTCGAAGAGGGAAAATGGAGGATTTCGGAGGAGGGAGGGGGCGGGCGTGGGATGGGGCAGAGGGGGGGTAATCCTCGCCTCTGGAAGCAGGAAGCTTGAGGAGCGACGGGGCAGAGGGCGGCGGCGACGATGATGACGACGACGACGACGGCAGCGGCGACGGCAACAGCAACGACGACGACGACGAGGGGCAGGTCACCTTTCCCCGTCGTCGTCTTCGAGGTTGTCGTGCATCTCCTCGCCCATCGGGGGGAGCAGGAGGACCTCGCCCCCTCTGCCCCCGCGGGGGGCGGCGGCCAACCCCCGCGGCGGCGGCCGGTGGCCGCCATGGTGGCCGCCCAGGCAGCGGCTGGATGAGTGAGGGGAGGTGGGAAGGAGGCGGGACGGAGTATCACGAAGAGGAGGAGGGGGAAGAGGAGGAGGAGGAGGAGGAGCTGGAGGAGGAGGAGG